CGCCCGTGCCAGCGCCCGGAACCCGGCAGAGTCCAGACGGCGCGCGGAGCGGGCTGCGTGCAGCCAGGCAACGTGGTTTGCCTTCGATTTCCTCTGCCCGGCTACGGAAAGGAACCGAGACAAAACAACTTACCGGCAGTGTTTGCTATGGCCAGCGGCAGCCCTTGCAGCTGATGCACCTGGATCCCAGACGCTCCCAAGGCACTGAGGTTAATAGTCTGGAGGCCTGGCATGGAGGAGAGCTGGGCAGCGTTGACCGTGACAGTGCCGCTGGGGAGGGAGGCGATGGGGGTGAGCGTGGTGCTGGTGCTGCCCGTCTGTCCCAGCGACACTCCCTGCATGGGGGCCAAGGTGATTGTCTGGGCCTGGGGGTTTTGAACCTGAAGGTTTTGGAGCTGGATGGTCTGCCAGCTCACCTGCCCGTTGGGACCCACCGTGGGCGTTCGGATGATGATGGGCCCGGAGTTGGGGACAGCTTGGAGCTGCAGGTTCTGCAAGGCGTCTTGGGAGATGGCTTGAGTGGCAAAGGTCTGGCCAGAGAGCGGGGTGGTCTGGAGGGCTTGGATTGTCTGCCCTCCTTGAACTAGCTGAGGTTGGATCAGGATCTGCTGCTGCTGCGATTGCTGACTCTGATCCCCCTCTTTCTGCTGCCCCGGCTGCAAAGCCACCCCAGAAACTTGGCTCTGCAGAGAGTCCGAGCTCTGGACGCTGCTGACCCTCTGGGGCGTCTGCGCCTGGACGTTGGTTCCCACCGTCGCGCTGGTGGAAAAATTCATGATGCCCATGTTACTGGTGGTGGTGGTGGTGGAGTAGCTGTTGGCGTTGGTAAAAAAGGCGCCGGAACTAGCGTGAGACGTGGCCGTGTTGGTGGAACTGATGGCAGCGCCCGAGGTGGCAGGCTGGGAGCTGCTGTCCGGAGAGCCGGAGCTGCTCAACGTGACCGTCTGAGAGGTGGGAGCCAGGCTGGCGGCCACGCTGGTGACGGGCAGCAAGGTGATATTGCCGTTCAGAGCCACAGGGACGTTGGCCACGTACTGGGTTTGCCCCGAGAGGGTGTTGTTGGCTAAGCCCACGCCCTGGATGGGGACGGCCTGCTGCAGCAGGTTTGGCATGGCGATGAGGTTACTCGTCCCTGCTCGGCTCGTTATGATCTGCTGGTTCGTGCCGGGGATGATCTGGAGCTGACCAGAGGCATCCTGCTGCACGTTGACTTGGGCAGGGGTGGTGGCAAACTGGAGCTGCTGCCCGTCGATGGTTTGGAATTGGGGAATGACCTGGTACTGGATATTCGGGATAACTCCCGGCAGGCCCGTGAGCACCTGCTGGTTCTGCAGGTTGGAAGCGGTCGTGACCACGTACTGCCCCGTGCTCACGGGCCGGCTTTTGGAGGCGTCTCCACCGTT